ATCTTATATAATTTTTTTTTAACTTTAGAATTATTTACTTTTTTTACTTAATTTAAAAGTGAATTGTATACAAATTTATTATATTAACATTATGTTAACAATATATTTTTTAGTTTGATTTAAAAAATTAATATAAAAATTATATAAAATTTGTTATATAAAAAAAATAAAAATTAAATACAAATTATGTGATATTAAATTTTAAATATTTATTTACCAATAATATTGGGCACAAATAAGAAAATATTTTCTGATTTTGTCATTTTTTTTTGTTTGTAATTATCTTTCACTGTTATCTGAAATTAAATATAAAAATTAATTTTTTTAATTATAGTATCTTTCGTTAAAAAAATTCAATTCAAGAACTTCGTAATTATTTCACTTTTGTACACTACCGATTTCAAGTTTAATCTAAATTACTGTGGAAAAGAGTATAGACATCCTACAACGTCAATGAATGGTAGAATCGACAATCATATCGCTTTGGGATTCGAGTTCGAGATGTATCGATTCCGGTGACGCATATAGTAATCACACAACTAGCAGTGTTGTATCTATTACTATTTTCACCTAAATTTATTTGCATCATGTGAGATTAAAAAAATAATAATTTTTATAAAATACAATATTTGTGTATGTGTGTATGTGTGTGTATGTATAGATATATATAATTATACATTTAAAAAAAAATTATATTTTATTTTAACTATGTTATAATTAAATTACAAAGATTCAAATAAATTTTAATTACAATTATTTTTTAAACATGATGATTTTTAAATAAATCTGCTTTTATCATATTCATAAAATCTATTTTATATATTTAAAAAAAAATCATAGTTGTAAAAGATATATTGACACATAGTTACGTTCCTGAAGCCAGACGACATTTTCGGAGGCTAAACGGCTGGTCCGCCGTTTCTCTGCGCAAAAGCGATCGTTTATTGTGTCGCGAGAAAACTGTCGGTACAGGTTTATGTCAATTTTCCTTAACTTTTTTCTGATATAACTAACTAAAAATAATATTCATTAACTAATAGTGAAGTCAAGTGAAATGTTTTAGTGTTAAAATTGATTAACCGTACGGTTGGATTTGGACGTCGTGCAATGAAGTTTAGGGTGGACTACTTTCCATTTACTGGAATACAATTAATAATGTATTTAAAATAAATCTTTCAAAAAAATTTTATTATTTATTTTTAAATTAAACATTGTAAAAAAAGATCATTGTCGTAATTTTAGTGCCATTGTCGAAAAGTGTATAACCAGAAGTAACATTATGCGATCGATAATTCGCCGACGATTTTGGAATACGCTTCAATGATCGAATCAAATACTTATGATTTTGTGCAACAATTCTTATTGTCAGTGAAATATTTTAAAAGTGATTTCAGTGTCTTCCAAAACTTGTGCACAACAAAATAATAGCAAGAACAAAGTATATACTTGTTGGTATGTGTACAAGCAATGCCAGAAACAGTGTCGTTTGGGACAAATACATTTTTGCGTCTTCCATCCGTATACGATTGCAATATCATTACAAGTAAATTGCATTTCGTATGAAAAAAAATTTACAAGAAACATACATGAGAAAAATGTGCATTTTAATATCGTTAGCGGCCATTTTGAACTTATGAGTATCTCGAACTACGACGATTATCAACCTCGTCTTATAATTCCAAAATTGAACCTTTTTTTTTTACGTCTTTCAATAGAGTACAAAAGCGTAAAGAGCTTATTTGTCATGTCATCTGAAAATATTTACTATTTTCTTTTTCTAAAATGAAATTCTAATAAGTGCTACAGAAAGCATTCCATTCATTTTATATTTTATATTTTAATATATATCTATTATATTATAATCCTTAATACGAATTTGAATACACGTTCAACCATAATAAAAAATTTGTTCACGAACGAAAGAAGTAAATAAATTACAAATTCTCGTTTATTCTTTATTATTTATGAGAAAGTAACAAATAATTCCAAATGAGCATATCAATTATTAAATGACATATAAGTAAAATAACTTTTTTCATTATTTCATTATTTTTATGTTTTTTCTTCAATAAATATATGATTTGAATATAAGATAAATATTTGCTTATCATACAAGCAGTACAGTTTCAATTTTTTGAAATAACGTACTCTATAGTCGACAGTTGTAATTAGAGGTGACAAGTAGATCTGAAATAACCTCAACAATGAAAAATCGTTGATATCAAAATAGACATATGAATTATGTTTTCAAACTTATTGTACATAAGCAGAAGTGTATAAATTAATTAAAAATATATGGAGAATCACTAAAACAAAAGTTGAAAGACAACAGTTTTCTGATTGATCGACAGTCACGACATTAGATGGTGGACGGTGCCATTTTTATCACTTTCATAGCGCGCATGGTACGCGCGGAAAATTGAGTATATTAAAAAAATTATCAATTGAATCTCACGGTTAAAATACAAATAATTATTATTATTTATGTATGTATATTTTTCGACTTCAATTGTATATTAAAATTGTGTATAAATTAAACCGATTAGGCTTAACCTAATGTGACGGTATAGTGCAGAATGCTTTCGTTTACATGGACGTGATGGTTTCAATAATTTTATAAATAAACTAAATAAACAGAATCATTAAAATTAAAGTGATACAATATGCAAAAATTACAAGTTATTCTCTATAATCAAATAAAATGGGTCGTTAGACCTTAAAATCACCAAAGAAAAATGATAAAAATATGAGCACAGCGGATATAACGCTGTCAGTTTCAGTCAAAATGGCCCCAGGGCCAGAACATCGCCAAGAACCAATAGCACCTGACAAAAGTGCTGAAAATAACAATAGTGAAATCTCTAATGAAAGAGATAATATTGAAAATTCAGTGATAGTTGTTGAGACTGTTAATAACCAGAATTCGAATACAGAATGTGCTTCAACGAACACTGACATCAATTCAGATTCGACAACCCAAAGTGTACCAACTTGCATTACTTCTGACAATAAACAGGTGAGTTAACGATATAAGGAATCCATATAAATAAGATATGTATTAATAGAATAGAATATATAATACTATAAAATCATTTTAATCATTTATATATAGATGTACATGATATGTATAAGAACATTTATACATATATATGAAGATCACTTGAAATATATTATTGAAAGATATAATTTTTTAAGGATATGAATTTAAAAAAATAATATACATAATTATTAGCTTATATAATATTAATTTTTAAATTCTTTAACATTATTTATAGATATAAAAATATATATATATATTTCCCAACATTTTTAATCATTATATTATGTTAAAAATTTAACATAGATGTTTATCTTAATATTTATAACCTAAGTTATAATATAAGTTTTTTAATCAATAATTTATAATCTATAATATTTTTTTAAATTCAAATTTAAATTATTTATAATATGTAATATATAATTATTAAATATATTTGTTCTTATACATTCAAATAAATTGAACATTTGAAATCCATAATAAATGTTTTAAAAGTTTTTATTTTAATTATAAATTACTTATATTAATTATACAGACAAATTTATAGAAATTAATTCAAAGTTTTTATAATTGATAATTTCAATATTTATTTATAATAGTACAATAAATTTATTTATAATAGCACAAAATATTAATGAATATTTTAAACTTTTTCATAAGGAAATAATATAAAAAATTTAATAATCATTTATTTATTAATTGTTACATTTATATATATAAATGATAGTATAAAATATACATTAAATTTTTAAAATATTGAAAATATAATTTTTAT